TTCCCCAGCGAAAAGCGAAATGTGAGGAACACATAAGACATTGCGTTAAGTGCATTTCGTTTTCACCGTCGAGTGGCAAACAGGAAGGTACTTTGTATCCAATACCGAAAGGTAAAGTCCCCTTCGAAATGATACATGTTGATCATCTGGGGCCGATGGACAAGCAAACGGCATGTAAGAAACACGTCTTAGTAATAGTAGATGCTTTTTCAAAATTTGTTCAGCTATGCACCATCAAAACTACTAAGACTAACGAGGTTATCGTTCACCTGACTAGATTCTTTCAAAATTATAGCACTTCTAAAGTGTTGGTATCGTGGTAGTTCGTTTACGTCGACCGAGTTTGAAACGTTTTTGAAACAGCGAGACATTCGGCACATCAAAGTAGCGACTGGTTCACCACAAGCCAACGAGCAGGTTGAGCGAATGAATCGCATCATTACTCCGATGATCTCTAAACTCAGCGAGCGTAGCGGCGGAAAACGATGGTATAATGTTTTGAACGAGGTCGAATACGCGATTAACAATACGCCTAATAAATCTACAGGGCACACCCCGAGCCAACTAATTTTTGGTATTGATCAGCGAGGGGCGTGTACTGATCACATTCGTGAATTTGTAGACAACAGCATTAATCCCTCCGAGCGAAAATTAAGTATCTGTCGCGATAAGGCAGCTAGTCAATTAGAAAGAGCGCAACAGTACCAAAAGGGGTATTACGACAAGAAACACAAAGCAACACGACGATACCAAGTGGGCGATTTAGTTATGCTAAGAAACTTTGATAGCACGCCAGGCGTCCCTAAAAAATTAACACCGCAGTATCGAGGTCCGTATGAGATCAAAGAGGCGTTAGGAAACGATCGGTATCAGGTAGAGGACGGTCAAGGATTTCAAAATGCGCAAAAGCGATATGCGAGGACATGGGCAGCCGCAAATCTGCGTCCCTGGATTAAGACTGAATAACAGTATTCAAAACGCCATACTATGCAGTAGCGTATAATTATATTAACGTAGAATATATAAGACAAATTATTTTGTGTGTTCAGTTAATAGTATATTAGTCTTAACAGTAGAGTCAGAATTAAGAATGTACTTGCGTTTGATAACCATGGTTTGGGGATGTAACGTCTGCCGAAATTTGCGCTCAGGCGAACGTCACGTTCAACGACGCCAGAGGCGTTGCCATGACAACGCGAACTGTCACGATTGCCGCGGAATTCTCGCGAACCGTGATCACGCGCTTAGAGCGTGATTGAACAGCTGTTGCGAGACCGTACTGCGCTTGCGCTACCTAATTTTGTTAATCGCGTGAAAATTTAATTAATCCAATAGCGCGACGAATCAGCACCCCATGATATTAAAGCCTAAATCATAGGAAACTAAGAACCTCGCTAGTATTCTCGATCTATCGCAGTATTCCGAGTAAATTAATAAATTCACCTCTTTTAAATTCAACAATTGCAATCGCAAATATAACTGCGCTGGTTCATAAAGCGGCTAATACTGCGCTTACGATCGAAAATATGTAGCTGAATTGCATCCGCAAGTGCACCAAAAGCTCCCAACAGAATCTGCGAAAGTCCGTTGGAAGCTCCGCGATACGAATAACGCACGAAAACTCTGTATCCAAAACTCTATTTATAAAAAAAGGGAAATATCCTTCGGAAATATAATGCGAAATATAACGCGAAATATAATGGAAATATAACGCGAATAAGCGCGCATAGCGACTGCACACTATGCAGCACAGGGGCGGAGCGCCTAAGAGGGCCCTGTCAACATTCAAATTTGACAATTTCCTCCTTTAAGACAGTAAAATTTAACAAAACCTCATCCGATCGAATTTTCTAAAACATTTCAAAAGGTTCAAGTAACTGTTGACAGGTCAACCCCTTTTCCCGCTCAGCACCACCACTTTTAACGTTATAAAAGCGCGCACCAGAGTCGCTCGAGGGAGAGTTGGAGATAGAGTTAGAGTGAGAACTAGTCTACCGATATTTTCAGAGAGTTTTTCGGAGTTTTTCGTCAGAGAGTTCTTCTTGGGAGCCAGAGAGTTTTTCGGAGCTTTAGTCTTTTCTTTTTCGAGTCATCATATCACTTATACTATCTCCCCCGACACTCCCCGAATCACCATTAGATTCACCGCGCCCTTGATTGTAGATGCCGAAAGAAAATCGCGCCGGTCGCGATAAGGCTCTCAAGCGCATGCAGCGGGAGTACTATTGGCGAGAAGAATTCGACCCACGTGAATTCGCCGACCCGCGCATCGTTCAGCCGCCGGGATTTTATCATCCCGTGCCTGGCAACTGCCAGGATCCGCCGCCACCACCGCCTCTACCCGCGAGACCGTTGCCAACGGTCCGAGAGATCAAGTCAGTCACCGGACAATTCCGTTGCACGCGCGACTTCATTTGGAGAAAACTTCAATAAACGCATGTTTTGAACCCTGCGAACCAGCGTTTTTCATTTAATCATTTTGTGACCGTTGACCTCCCTCTTAATCTCCGTAACCGTGATTACCGCCCTTGCCGCTCGGGGCAAGAATTACGCCGAGCCGTCGTTGGACGAGCCTACGCCGCGTCCGAGGGGCATTCGCACTCGCCCCCCGAACGTGACAGGGACCAAACCCTAAGTCAGGCTGGCCGAATGTAGCAATTGTAGCAATACCGACGGTAGAGATAGTATCGATCGAGGATGTAGCGAGAGGACGCGGAAGGATCGGGAATCAAGGAGAACCGCATGACGAGACATATACGGATAACGGCCGTTCATTAATAAAGGAGCTGATTCTACCGTGAAAGCATTGCAATCATTTAATTTCCCTCCCTATAAATCTCTTACACTATTAAATCATCTTCATCGTCATTTAAGTAAGGGAGTGATTTCCAAAACTTGTTTACGCATATTAATACAATTATCTTTTTTCTATCCATTTGATCGTATTTGTATTCCAATATTACGTGTCGTATGTCGTATACTGGTTAACGGTTTAATTTCGAAGCATTGTAGCGCTATTTTGACCGTACCCGAGTGAAGCGTTTGCAACTTTGAAAGTGTTCATTGACCGGGTCTAAAGCGTTAGAATAGAAAGCGATTGATGCGTTCAGTAAAGTCCGTTTGACCGCACCTAAAATGATAAGATCGCTTTAAAACACTTGTAAAAATAGATGAAGACTCTCTTTATCTCCCCTTATAGTCATTAAAGAGTCGAAAAAGGCTTGTGAAGTAAAAATAGGTCACGCATGCGCATTGAGTGAAAACTAGTAAACGTACTTTAAGTTCCTTTTATGACTATTTACTGATTGTTAAGGAAAATAAGGATAGTTTTCGTCCATTTTTACAAGTGTTTTAAAGCGATCTCATCATTTCATTTCATCCAAATCTCTTTATTTACAAATGGCATGTAAGAAAAATCAACATGTCGCTTGTGACATATTTCTCGCGCTTATGACGTCACAATTCAGTATAGCTGGTGTGAACCATACTCAGCCTTGAAGAGAATCTTAAACGGCAAAAAGATTTAATAGCAACTCATATTACGTCGAGAGATAACGATGGCGTCGACACCGACTGTCACTATAACGACGATTTTAAATTGGATTTCACATGGATAAGAATCTTTCTCCATCTTTTTTTTACATAGCATTCCTAAGTAGGAAGTGAGAAGCCCGCACAGGGGATTGTTGCCACTTAATTAAGTATATAAGGACCGAATGATTAATCGCAGTCAATCTCTAAACCTAAAAAGGTATCTGTTCAAGTCAGTCTAAGAAAAATCTGAGTAAAAACCTGTGTAGAAATTAATTAATTTTGAATTAAGTAATATGGTGATTAATAAATTTGGGACCAAAACTGTATGGCTCTCTTAAATAAATCGAACTCACTTGATATGGAAGTAATTCAACCAAAAGAACTTGTAGTAAAGTTTTTTAAAAATCGTTAAAGATAAATTTATTTTTAAATTATAGTTGATTGGTTGATTGAGTGTGACTTTTGATCCTTATCAATTAAAATCAATTTATATTTTGATTACAGGCTGAACATGTATATTTGGAAATCTGTCGCTGACGAAGATCTGCAGCAATAATCTAGAAAATTGGATATGCTGTCGAGTGATAAGTATTAGTGATAAATATATACATTATAGAGACGCCTTTCCCAATGACTTTGACATTGATATATGTTGTCTAGGTCATGATCCTGAGTGACATTGAAGAGGTTTTAGCCGGCGCTCATCCTTCGTCAAAAAGTTATTAACAAAAAAGATCTACTATATAACACGAAAATTCTCAGTTTTAAAATAAATTTCCTGCTTCAATATAGTTAAGAAATAAAGGTGGGATGAAAGTCGCTTCTCGTGGAAAGTCGCGCATCCCCTCGGCAGAGAAGAGGTGGGGTGAAAATCGCCTTGCGTGAAAAGTCGCGCACCCCTGGGCAGAAAGAGAGACGAGGCAAAAACCGCCTCGCGTGAAAGTCGTGGAAAATAAGAAAATAATTACTAACTTTGACTGTTAAGGGGGGAAGCCGGTCTAGAATTTTGAAAAAAATCGAAAATTTTTTTTTGTCTTAAAAGATGCTTTAGGGTCTTAAAAATAACATACCAAAAGATGGATGCCGGAAAAAATGTGTAAATGCCCAAATTTTCTGCGGCAGCGGCTCTCAGGTATGCCCCGAGCGCCTTTTATGATCCCGGCGCGCGCTGTAATTTTTGGGTACGGGTGCAGGTATACCGGCAGTCGAGAGAAGGGATTGCCCTCCGATGAATTTAGAATATACGGATGTCCCGGAATGTGTATAGGGATCTCTAATAGTAATATATATGTATAGAAAATGTGTGAAGCGTTAGTAAGCCGAAAGTCGACCGTTGAAAAGGACGCTCTTCTCACGACGCTTTTATGAATTCTGGCAAAGTGATAGTGGATATTGCTACAAGTATTGCTTCATGTGTCTTCAACGATGGACTAAGATCAATTTTGCACATATTCGATGTCATGAAGATGAAAATTGGACCAAACAGTTACAATGTGTACACGAATATAGATGCGAACCGTATCAAGAAAGCGGAACAATCACTCAGTTTCGGCGCAAAAGAAGCCCGCATGCAATTGAAAGCTTTCCGAAAGGAAAAAGAAGCCGAAGAGGTGATATAGAAGGACAATTGTACGGCGCAGGCATCGCAGATTAAAGGTATATACGAATTTAATATGATTTTATAGTACTTACAACTTTAAACGCGTTTTTCTCGAAATCACTTTTTTTGAACTGGCCGAAGACATAACTCGAGGAAATCTTCACCGATCCATACGAAATTTTGACAGTACATTCGAAATACCTTTCTCCGGAGACGTACGTAGGATTTTTTTTTTATATTGCATAGTTTTCTTGTAATCAACAATTTTATGTCGTTTTTTATAGTGAAAATTTTAACTTTTTATTCAAACGTGCACCATTTCGCGAAAAAACAAAATATCGAAAAAATCCTACGTACGTCTCTTGCTGTTGTTATATAGAAACTAAAAAAATTTTATTTTTTGTTCCAGGACCAAAATTAAGGAGGTTACGTCTTCGGCCATGGACCTACTGAAAAAAAGGCGTCTTCGGAGAAATGCTGGACAGCCGCCATTTTGAAATTAATTAACATAAAAAAAAATTTGTATTTGTTCTTTAAAACCTATATTATAAAACCTATTTCACAGATTTTCGGTTGATCCTTTTGTTGAGTCACAAAAAATTCATAAAATATGCCCATTTTTTCGCGCTCTAGACCAGCTTCCCCCCTTAATAATAACTAATAATATTTGAAGGATAAGCACCGCACAGTGGGCCAGACGTCCCGAAATCTTGACCAAAATATTGATGGATTGGCATAAAACTCGGTATCTAAGGGTTTTTCGAATCTGAACTCAAAATTTAGAAATTCAAAATGGCGGATCCAAAATAGCGAATCCAAAATGGCGGACAAAAAGGTTAAAAATGCTCCAATTGCTGTCAAATTTGGTACTTAAGAGGGCTTTTAGTCCTTAAACTAAGTAGTTTTCAAAGTCACTGATTAGTCCTTAAACTAAGTAGTTTTCGAAGTCCCTGATTTTGAATCTGAACTAAAAATTTAGAAATTTTGAGTTCAGATTTTTAGAATTATAAATGGCGGGTCCAAAATGGCAGAATAGAATGTTAAAAAAAATATCAAACCTTGACGAAAGATAGTATACTGTGATTTTCGAGGTCGTTGATTATAAATCTGATATCAAAATTACTGAAAAGAAAATGACGGATTCAAAAAACGGATTCGAATGTCAAAAGATTTTAGCAGAAATCGACATAAGGCAGTTTTCGAGGTTGCTTATTAGAGAGGTAGTAATAAGTAACGTCATTATAAATTATAATCTACATAAAACGATTTTACCCTCTGTAGGGCGCGAAGAGTTTTAGTGGTTATTTCACGATCATAAGTGTATCGGAAGAGTAAAAGTTATTAAATGTAATAATATAAGTATTCTTAGCATACATTTAAATTAAATTATTTAATTTTAAATAATTTATATTTCTTTAAATAATCATTAATAACAATAGTAGGACTTATAACAGATGTGTACGCAATAATTATTAACAATCATATAAAAATAATATTTCATGAAATTACAAAAAGTAAAAATTAGTATATTTTAAATTATGTATATACATATATATGAATATGTGTGTATTTATTATTTACTTTATTATGCATTTATTATACAAATTGTTTATTATAATAATTTACATCATTTTTAAAAAAATAATTTTACTTTTTAAACTAATTTGCTTGACACTCAATTTGTAGATGTATAAAAACGTCAGTTTTAAGCAAATACGTTTAAGAAAAAAAATAGTTTTAAAGATTTTAAAATTATCTGTGTGAGACAGCATGGATATATGCCAGGAGTATGCGTCGCGTGTTGCGGTTTGACATTTCTTTTAACATTCTATTCTGCCATTTTGGATCCGCCATTTTAAATTTCTAAATTTTGACTTCAGATTCGAAATCAGCAACCTCAAAAACCCCTGAATACTCAATTTAACAACAATTGGAGAACTTTTAGTACTTTTGTGTTTTTTTTAGTCACTTTCTCTGGTATTCTGGTCCGCGGGTGGCACCCAGTTGAACACGGCTCAATTGGACACGAGCCACTCACAGCGCTTGAGACTACAAAGTTTCTAAGCACCGGTCGCTGTGATTGGTGGTGTCCAATCGAGCCGTGATCAATCGGGATCACCCCCAAAAGAGAATGCTTTAAATCGTACTTCTAAAAACAAATCGACCTTCCTTATTTCATGGACATTTTAATTATGAAATAACATTCAAAACATTGGAGAATAAATATATATTACACAAGGAATGCTACTTGCGTCAAAACGATCAATCGGCAATTGTAGTTAACTTTTTAAATTAGAACGTATGTAGACACAAAATTAATAATCTCATTATTCTGAAATTTTGCATAAATGTACGTTTATTCCTTTAGATAACAATAATAACTTTTCTGAATCGAATGCTGCCAATGACTTTTGGCCACTTTGGGCCAGTTTTTGGGGTTTCCTGGCCCACTGTGCACCAGTTAAAATCTTTTCAAGGTCACTCAGAGTCAAAACCTTATATGTCAAGGTCATTAGGGGAGACTCCCCAAATCTACATACTTACCAATTAAATTTCTAATCAAAGTTTATTTAAAATATAATAAGCAGAAGCAGGACTATTAAATTACAAAATTCAAATAAACATCAAAAAGGACATATAAGAGTCAACGTAAAAAAATTTAAAAAAAATTTTTTAGATGTCACATAATAAATACAAATAAGATTTAATAAAAATTGAAAAACATTACATGTTTCGGCTTTTTATTAAGCCTTCTTCAGATGCTACTTAATAAAATTTTCGCAGTTCTTTAAGATATCCATTGTTTAGTCCATAATTTACGAAGGTACATGGTAACATTGAAAGTTCGATGAGTGCCTTTCAAATTTTGGTAATGATACAACTAGATTACTCAAATTATGGATAAAATTTCGTAGACTCAACCTTAAAAGTATTTTACACATTAGATTCCTAAAAGATTGTATTAGGCATAAGATCATACCACGACACTTAGAAAGATTGACAAATTGTAAGATTAATTTCCATCATCATAATTCTTCTCATAAATTCCAACACTACAAAGAAATTTTTATCAAGAAAACGTTCTTGACGGAACTTAATGACACTCACATAGAAAGAATGATTATTACAAAAAAAGGTTTTTTATTTGGCAAGCACATTGTCTTATTACTTACCTATTAATATTTGCGATAAGTTTCTAAATTCACAAGAAAAGTCTTGTTTTTTCTTTTTTGTCAAAGAAAAAAAAAGAATTACTTTTTTAATTGGCTATTAAACAAACAGAAAAAGTATATCCTTCGTGACATTAAACCTATAGGGTATACTCGACATTAAATCTAAGGTGTATACTCGAAAACGAAAAATTGATGAAGTACAAATAAACAGACAGTTCTGATTCGGACACAAACATTTCTCTCGATAACGATGATTGGTTGATCGGCGAGAGTGACGATGAAGCAGAAGGGATTCAGTAATCCAATAATAGGCCACAGGAAAGTGCTCAAGATGTGCTTTCAGAATCTGAGAATGAAAGTGTACCATTATCTGAGCGCTTGGATAGGTTCCGAAAAGATATGTCGTAGACTAGACAGTCTGAACAGTCATTACTTGAGCCAATACTTCATCCATTTACTGATTTGAATGCCGGTGTGCAATGTGACAGTGGTCTGAATAGGAACAGCAGTCCAGCCGAGATTTTGAAAAAGTTTCTTTCGGAAGATATGATTGAGATGATTTGTTACGAAACAAATAGGTATGCTGCAGAGACAAAAAATGCCTTGAGTCTTGCTAACAAACTGAAGCCGCAATCGAGAATACTAAAATATACAGAAACAGATCCTGATGAAATGAATACATTCCATGCAATAATTATTTTGATGGGAATTATACACAAACCATCACTTGCCATGTATTGGATCAAAGATACAATGTTAGCAACACCCTTTTTTTCTTCTGTGATGACATACAACAGATTCCGTCATTTGCTGACTCTACTATATTTCTCCGAAAATGAGGATGATTCAACAGATAAGCTTAGAAAAATTCGTCCTGTTTACGAACTTCTGGTTGAAAACTTCAAAGCCGTTTATAGACCAGGAAAAGATATAAGCATTGACGAATCATTGATACCGTGGAAAGGTCGACTAAGTTTTAGGCAATGTAATCGAAATAAACGAGCTCGTTTCGGGATAAAAGCATACAAAAATTGCGAGTCAAAAACTGGCTACGTTTATGATGTGAACATATACACAGGTAAAGATCGTGAAAATGAAAGAGCCCGTAAAAGAATAGACATATCTGGCACAGTAGTAAAAACATTACTTGGAGATCTCGCAGGTCAAGGCCGATCGCTTTACATTGACAACTGGTATATATTTCCACTTTTGTGCAAAGAGCTTGTCGATGAAAAAACGAATGTCTGCGGAACCGTGCGTGAAAATCGTAAATACATGCCGAAGGAGAACACAAAAAATCTAAGAGTTGGTGACATGACAGTTTGGTACACTCCAAAAATGGCTTTTCTGGCATGGAAAGACAAAAAAGTTGTTACGATGCTCACAACAATGCACAATCCAGTCATGATTGATACCGGAAAAATAGATAGGCACACCAAGAAAAAGATCATGAAGCCAAATGTTATTTCTTATAATAACAATATGGGAGGTGTAGATAAAAAACAGATCAGTCTATTTCTTCTTACGAAACGATTCACAAGACTGTCAAGTGGTATCACAAATTATACTTTCATTTATTCGATACTGCAATTTACAATGCTTTCGTCGTCTATAATCATCTCCACTGACTAAAAAAAAAAAAGACTTCTTTACAGTTTCGTCGTGCACTGGTAGCAGAGCTGTTAGAAGAGCATTGTGATCAACACACATCATCTAAGAAGTATCATTACAAACCCAAAAATCCTCTACGCTTGTCACATCACTATCCATCCTACATTTCAGACGATAAGAAGATGAGAAAGCGATGCACTGAATGTTATTCCAAAAAACAAAGGAAGGAAACATATTTCATGTGCAAAGAATGTGATAACGTTCCACTATGCGTGGTACCTTGCTTCCAAAACTATCACGTATGATGGTGTTATCAGGTAAAATACCGAAATATTTTTTTATTTGTTGCCCAAGCACATAGCTGGAGATTATAAATTGTTGAATACAAAAATCCTAAAAACATAAAAAATGAAAGAAAAAAACAATAGATACAGAAAACAAAAACAAAAAAAAGAATAAAATCATAATGGAAATAAAAATAATAAAAAATTTAAAAACGCCAAAAGCACCAAAAAAATAAAAAAAATACAAAAATTAAAAAAAA